TTGATAGGTTGTTTGTTTTTTTTTCTTGTAAATTTGTTTAAGTGCTTTGTAGATTCTGGATATTAGCCCTTTGTCAGATGGGTAGTTCACAAAAATTTTCTCCCATTTTGTTGGTTGCCAGTTCTAATGACTGTTTCTTTTGCTGTGCAGAAGCTCGTAAGTTTAATTAGTTCTCATTTGTCTATTTTGGCTTTTGTTGCCACTGCTTTGGTGTTTTAGTCATTAAGTCCTTGCCCATGCCTGACTTGTACTGAATGGTATGGCCTAGCTTTTCTTCTAGGGTTTTTATGATGTTAGGGCTTATGTTTAAATGTTTAATCCATCTGGAGCTAATTTTTGTATAAGGTGTAAGGAAGTTTTGGCTTTCTTCACATGGCTGGTCAGTTTTCCCAACATCATTTATTAAACCCAGAATCCTTTCCCCATTGCTTGTTTTTGTCAGGTTTGTCAAAAATCAGACGGTGTAGATGTGTGGCGTTACTTCTGAGGCCTCTGTTCTGTTCCATTGGTCTATATATCTGTTTTGGTACCAGTACCATGCTGTTTTGATTACTGTATCCTTGTAGTATAGTTTGAAGTCAGGTAGCATGATGCCTCCAGCTTAGTTCTTTTTGCTTAGGACTGTCTTGGATATGCCAGCTCTTTTTTGGTTCCATATGAAGTTTAACGTGGTTTTTTCCAGTTCTGTGAAGAAGGTCAAGGGTGGCCTGATGGAGATAGCATTGAATCTATAAATCACTTTGGGCAGTATGGCCATTTTCACAATATTGATTTTTCCTAACCATGAGCATGGAATGTTTTTCCATCTGTATATGTCCTCTCTTTTTTCCTTGAGCAGTGGTTTGTAGTTCTCCTTGAAGAGGAACTTCACATCCATTGTTAGTTGTATTCCTAGATATTTAATTCTCTTTGTAGCAATTGTGCATGGGAATTTACTCATGATTTGGCTCTCTATTTGTTTGTTATTGGTGTATAGGAATGTCTGTGATTTTTGCACATTGGTTTTGTATCCTGAGACTTTGTTGAAGTTGCTTATCATCTTAAAGATATTTTGTGCAGAGATGATGGGGCCTTCTAAATATACAATTATAAAGCAAGTTCTTAATGAACTACAAAGAGCCTCAGACTCCCACAAAATAACAGTGGGAGACTTTAACACTCCACTTTCAATATTAGATCAACGAGACAGAAAATTAACAAGGATATCCAGGACTTGAACTCAGATCTGGACCAAGCAAACTTAATAGACATCTACAGAACTCTAGACCCCAAATCCACAGAATATACATTCTTCTCAGAACCACATCACACTTACTCTAAAATTAACCACATAATTGGAAGTACATTACTCCTCAGCAAATGTAAAAGAACGGAAATCATAACAAACAGTCTCTCAGACCACAGTGCAATCAAATTAGAACTCAGGATTAAGAAACTCACTCAAAACCACACAACTACATGGAAACTGAACAACCTGCTCCTTAATGACTACTGGATAAATAATGAAATGAAGGCAGAAATAAAGATGTTCTGTAAAACCAATGAGAATGAAGACACAAGGTACCAGAATCTCTGGGATGCATTTCAAGCAGTGTCTAGAGGGAAATTTATAGCACTAAATGCTCACATGAGAAGTGGGGAAAAATCTAAAATCGACACCCTATAGTCACAATTAAAAGAACTGGAGGAACAAGATCAAATAAATTCAAAAGCTAGCAGAAGACAAGAAACAACTAAGATCAGAGCAGAACTGTCTCTGAAGGAGACAAAGACACACACAAAAAAAACCCTTCAAAAAAGATCAACAAACCCAGGAGCTGGTTTTTGAAAAGATCAACAAAATAGATAGACCACTAGCCAGACTAATAAAAAAGAAAAGGGAGAAGAATCAAACAGATGCAATATAAAATGATAAAGGGGATATTCACCACCGATTTCACAGAAATACAAACTACCATCAGAGATTACTACAAATACCTCTGTGCACATAAACCAGTAAATCTAGAAGAAATTGATAAACTCCTGGACACTTGTACCCTCCCAAGACTAAACCAGGAAGAAGTTGAATCCCTGAATAGACCAATAACAGGGTCTGAAGTTGAGGCAGCAATAAATAGCCTACCAATCAAAAAAGTCCAGGACCAAACGGGTTCACAGCCAAATTCTACCAGATGTACAAAGAGGAGCTGGTACCATTCCTTCTGAAACTATTCCAAACAATATAAAAAGAGGGAATCCTCCCTAACTCATTTTATGAGACCAACATTATCCTGATACCAAAACCCGGCAGAGCCACAACAAAAAAAGAAAACTTCAGGCCAACATCCATGATGAACATTGATGAGAAAAATCTTCAATTAAATACCGGCAAACTGAATGCAATAGCACATCAAAAGGTTATCCATCACAATCAAGTAGGCTTTATCCCTGGGATGCAAGGCTGGTTCAACATATGCAAATCTATAAATATAATCCATCACGTAAACAGAACCAAAGACAAAAACCATATTGAGATATGATTATCTCAATAGATGCAGAGAAGGCCTTCAAAAAAATTCAACAGCCCTTTACACTAAAAACTCTCAATAAACTATGTATTGATAGGATGTATCTCAAAATAATAAAAGCTATTTATGACAAACCCACAACCAATATCATACTGAATGGGCAAAAACTGGAAGCATTCCTTTTGAAAACTGGCACTAGACAAGAATGCCCTATCTCCCCACTCCTATTCAACATCGTATTGGAAGTTCGAGCTAGAGCAATTAGGCAAGAAAAAGAAATAAGGGGTATTCAATTAGGAAAGGAGGAAGTCAAATTGCCAAAAGTTTTTTTCAATGAGAAGGTTTTTGAATGTCTAGAATAGACATAAGTCATATTTGAGCATGTTTGAGCCTGAGGATTAATATATGAAGAGAGGGAAAGACTGATGGTTCCAAAGGAGACAACCAGTGGAAGAGGGTCCTAAAAATGCACAAGGGAATACAATAATTAATTCAACAAAGTCAAAAAGATATAGTCTCTGTCCTCAAGTCCAAATTAGTTTAATGCCACAAAATGAAAAAGAGTGCATGAACCAGAGAGAGAGAACATGCAAGCAAACTGTGTAATTTCTTCTTAAATTAAGATATAAACCCAGATATTTTAGTGCAACATGCCATTCCAAATATTCAGCAAAGGCACATATTTGCAAGAAAAAAAATTTACTTTTGGACTCAACTCTACTTCCATTTTTATAAGACCACTTCCTTCTCTTCAAATTCTATACAGTTAGTTTTTAAAACGTCTTTGAGAATCTCTTAATTTTTAGTAACATATATTACAAGTAATCTAGAAACAACTACAAATATTACTGAAAAGCTAAAAGTCTAGGATAATCACATTACACATATCACCTTACTTTTAATCCATAATAAAAGATACTTAATAGTAATGACAAGGTAGAACTACACTGCCAATATCATACTGAATGGGCAAAAACTGGACGCACAACAAAAGATTGCAGAACTAAGAGATTCACATCATCTGTAAAAAATTTTATTTTTTTTCCATCTCTGCAAGTCACCAAAATTCAACATCAAATTATATAAAGATTAATTTAAATGGTCCTATGAATAAAGACACAAAACTTGAAATCAGGGATCTACAATGCTCCTGGTTTCAACTAAAACCATTTTTTTAAGATGTGAAAAAACAGCAACTTTGGCTGGGCACGGTGCTCACGCCTGTAATCCCAACACTTTGGGAGACCGAGATGGGTGCATCATCTGAGGTCAGGAGCTCGAGACCAACTTGGCCAACATGGTGAAACCCCGTCTCTACTAAAAATGCAAAAAAATTAGCCAGGTACACTGGAGGGTGCCTGTAACCACAGCTACTGGGAAGGCTGAGGCAGGAGACCTGCTTGAACCCAGGAGGTTGAGGTTGCAGTGAGCCAAGATTGAGCCACTGTACTCCATCCTGAGTGACAGAGAGAGACTCTGTCTCAAAAGCAAATAACCCAGCAACTTTGTTCAAATGTACAGTTGTATGTTCTGGCTATGCAACAATCTACTGGATCTACTATATTTCCAAAGTATACCTACTACATCTTTAGTCCAAAAACCTCAGGTCTTAGAATTTTTTGTATTACCATGTAGGATGATATCCTGGGCACTATGGAAGATATACATAATTCCCAAAAACAATACTCTCTACTCTTTCTAAATCATTCAGTTCATTCTTTACTACCTATTTCCACTGAACACTTCCAGTCTTCTAGCCCACAATGACTTCCCCTTCCTCTGAACTTCTCCAACCACTTAAGTGCTGGAGTCACTTGAAGATATTTAAGTATCTAAATCAACATTTGATACATCATAAACTATTTTGACTTTTTTGCACATAATCACATCTTTTCTCAGGGTTGGCATAACAGTGGGAGTAGGTGCTAAAGAAGTGATGAGAGAAGAATCAAAGAGATGAGATTACAAAGTTCTAGACACTACTTTGAGACTATATTTCTAGTTCTTGGATCAAGTCCTATGTGGAAATGAGGGCTAGACACTCAATCTAGGATCTTTAATGATAGGTATTGTTTCTGAGATTTGTGTTTTCCATAGTGCTCAGAATATTATCATATGTGGTAATACAAAAAATTATAAATATTTGGATGATGTGATCAAAGAAACGAAGCCAAATGACCATACTTGACCAAAGCCAAGTATCCAAATTATAAAACTGGTAACAAATAAATAATATAGAAAACAGTCTAAGAGGAAATCTGGGAGGGTTTGTCAAAAAAGAAAATTATTAAAATTGAAAAAACATTTGGAGAATTGCACAAGGAGATTATTAAGATCTTTGCAAACTTTCATTAATAATCTTTGTGGTACTAGAATGCTTTATAATTCAATTAAATACTTTGTGTAACTAAGTAAACAGCACTAATTTCAGGCTTTTGTTCCAATATATAGTCTAATTCTACAAACCACCCACACACAAAACATCATACTTACTGAGATCTCTACATTTAATAGTACTATATTCAAAAGAGATACAAAGATAGTCACATGCTTCTCTCAGTTCAGGAATAGATATGCCATCAGGACAACGGATTATTCCTGTTTTATAGTAATCCTGGGGAAAAAAAAGAAAAGAAAGCATAAAATATCTGGAGCACAAGGTAGCCAAAACTTATTATTAAGGTTGGACTGATAACATTTTCAGAAACAGCAGAGAACTGTGACATCTCTGAATTGTGGAAGTTTAAACTTAGATGAGACTTCAGTTCACCTACTTTTTCATTTTACCAAAAGGAAAATTCAGGTCCAAATGAATCCACTGACTTAACCTGTCATACAATTACTTAAAAGCAAAGGTAAGATTAGAACGTAGGGCTCCCCATTACCTAACTAATGTCTTCTCTTATGACATCATATCAATGCATATGTATTTTCCTTCTACAAGTTGTAGTTCTATAAAACTGTCATAAAGTTTTCAATTTTTTTTAATAAAGTAAGGAAACTGAATGATATGTTACCTTAAATATTACCGAGATAATTTAATAAAATTTGAGGTTTTTAATACAGAATTATACTCATATTCAAGTATTAAAATACATAAAATAAGATGTACCATTAGATATTCTTCTTCTAATATATCCTTTGATGATTCCATAGTATGACAAGCAATACTAATTATTTCCAAAATCTACTTAACAAGTTAAAGAACAACCCCAGAATTACAGATACGTTACTTCACAGATGAGTGATAAAAATTATTTTCAATTCCATGAGAGGAAATATGGAAAGCTTAAAAAAGCACTTTTTTCCCAAAATTAAGACCTGCTTCGGCCAGGCACCATGGCTCATACCTGTAATCTCAGAACTTTGGGAGGCCAAGGCAGACAGATCACCTGAGGTCAGGAGTTCAAGTCCAGGCCTGGCCAACATGGTGAAACTCTGTCTCTACTAAAAATACAAAAATTAGCCAGACATGGTGGCACATGCCTGTAATCCCAGCTACTCAGGAGGCTGAGGCAGGAGCATCACTTGAGCTTGGGAGGCAGAGGTTGCAGTGAGCAGAGATCGTACCACTGCACTCCAGCCTGAGGAAAAAATAAAAGAAAGAAAAAAAAAACGGTCTCAAGCTTTCTGAGGTTCAGAACCTAAGTAACCAGTAACACAATTTCTAAGGTTGCTGCATCAATGGAAGTGAAACATCTTCTGGTACTTATATGAATACTCACCTGATCAAGATCAACTATTTTCCCTAACTGTCTTCCATCACAGAATCCTCCCTTCCCCCAAACTATTTAAGAAAACTGTATTTTCAGACTGTGGCACAAACTGTCAGAAACTATAAATCAAATCTTTTTTTTTTTTTTTCCAAGACAGGGTCTCACTCTGTCTGGAGTGCAATGGTGTGATCTCGGCTCACTACAACCTTCCCCTCCTGGCTCAAGAGATCTTCCCGCCTCAGTCTCCCAAGTACCTGGAACTACAGGCATTCCACCCAGCTAATTTTTGGATATATCTTTTGGTAGAGTTGGGGTTTTGCCATATTGCCCAGGTTGGTCTCGAACTCCTGAACTCAAACCACCCACCTGCTTCAGTCTCCTAATGTGCTGGGATTATAGGCATGAACCACCACACCCAGCCTTATAATCAAAATCACTGAATTTAAATTACAAGTAGAGACTCGGTATGATAAATTAAAATATTTTTCCAAAAAAAAGCTTAAAATCTAAAAAAAAAAAACAGTTTTACAACAAAGATGTCGGCTGGGCACTGGCTCACACCTGTAATTCCAGCACTTTGGGAGGCTGAGGCAGGAGGACTGCTTGAGGTCAGCAGTTCTAGACCAGCCTGGGCAACATGGTGAAACCTCATCTCTACTACAAATACAAAAAATTAGCTAGGTGGGTGGCATGTGCCTATAGTCCCAGCTACTAGGGAGGCTAAGGTGGGAAGATCACTTAAACCCAGAAGGTTGACGCTGTAGTTAACAGTGATCACACTATTGCACTCCAGCCTGGGCAACAGAGTGAGACCCTGTCTCAAGAAAAAAACCCCAAAACCAACAACAAAAAAAGATGTTAACAAATACATTTTGAAGATGACTTTTAGATGTTTCTAAGTTTCCACATTGCTAGTTATATGCCATAAAATAATAGAATCAGTCATATTCACTCTCAGATAGTAAAAATGATCAAAATACTGAATTTAAGAGAATTAAAGAGAAGTAAATATGACTTCAGATATGTTAGTAAATACCTGAAAGAACTGTGTATGCAGACCTAAGAGTTTAATAATCTCTTATCCTATCATCCTGAAGGTCATCAAATTTATTTGCTTATATCATATTATCTGTATGTACTAAAATAAAGACGAGAGCACAGCATGTTGGCTCAATGCTTGTAATCCCAGCACTTTGGAAGGCCAAGGCAGGAGGATGGCTTGAGCCCTAGAGTTCAAGATCAGCCTAGGAAACATTGTGAGACCTCGTCTCCATAAGAAACAAAAACAAAAATAATTAGCCAGGCATAGTGGCGTATGCCTGTAGTTCCAGCTACTCAGGAGTCTATGGCAGGAGGATTGCTTGAGCCCAAGAGGTCGAGGCTGCAGTGAGTTATGATCGTGCCACTGCACTCCATCCAGCTTGGGTGAAAGAGCAAGACCCTGTTGCAAAATTAAAATTAAATGAAGATGAATTAAATGGTATTTAAGGAAAAACAATATCCTGGAATAACTCCAAAGACAAATTCAAATAGAATTCTGCTTCTAATCCAAGTACCTACCAAGAAGGGGTCTTACGATTAAGTCAATACTCATAAGAACCACTCACCAGAATAGCTCGAAACACAGTAGAACCAATTCCCTCTGCCACCTCATACTCTCCTTTCTCATTGGGTCGTGTAAAGTTATGTTCTCGGCCAGATCCAAACATCCTATGATAGCAAATAATTGAGAAATATTTCAATAGAATACTTCCTTCAAAAGGGAAAACAGATTTCACATACAAAAATAAAAAGGAATTACATCAGTAAATTAGTTCAAGAACTTTTATCATTAATTTATTCTGGTAAACATCATAAATGAAGGAATATTAAAAACATTTTCTTTTTGATGGTAAGGAACACTAGTATAGATTTCCTGCAAGCAACAATAAAATAAATGACAAAATTCAGAAGCTAAAGAGCTTTCCTACCCCTTCTCCTCAGAAAACACCACCAACCAATTAATCTAAGGGAAAAGGTGAGTTTTTAATACCAATTTTACCAGGAAGAAAAAAAAAGGGAAACTATGTTATCTGTGGTTTTTCCTTAAAACTGCTATTTTCATTGTACAGTTAATGCCATAATGCAGCACACAACGCAAACTAAACTGAGACAAAGTAAGATGATACAGGACAAGTCAGGTTGTTTTACATTTCACAATCTTAACTATAAATGTAACAAATCCTACTCAAAATTCTTAGGCTTGCATCCTATAACTGAAAAACAAGCAGTCAAATGGTGGGGTAGACAGCAGTGAAGAAATAGGATAATGGCAAGTTTAAAAAATAAATTAAAAAGCTCTTAATTTTTATATAAGAAAAATACAAATGACTTTAATTTTTTTTCAAGTCATGTTGTTGGCCGTTTAACAGTAGCTGTTTAGAAAAGAGGCAATTTGCAAAATATGTCCTTAACAATAAAAAATGTACTCTAGCACTCTCCAGAAAGTTTAAAAATCATGATTAAAGAAAGATGAACCTCTATATCCTATGGTACTACTATTCCCAAAGTAAATATGGTTGAACTAAGTATTCTATTCAGTAGTTTCCTAATTCAAATAGATTCCTCTTTTGTTGTAACACAGGAAACTATGAACAACAAAGCTTTTTTATGTCAAAGTTTCCAAAAGAATGCCAACTGCTTTTTACAGTTCCCATGAATATTAATTTTCATCCCCAAAGACACACTTTAGTCAACTGACATAAAAAAAGCCTTTGCTAATTGAAAGAGAAGAAAAAGAAGTTAGTCTTTCAGGAATCAAATGCCATCATTTCAACTTTTTACAAAAGGGGAAAGCTATTCTTTTCACATCAATATGAATACTTTAAAAACTTTTCTTTTTAAAGAAAACATAACCTAACAACCAAAATTTCAAATATCTACTTTTTTTTTACTGTTTCTATATATCTCATGTAAAAATATAAAGTATTATTAACAGTGTCAAGTCATATTCCTGATAACTTCTGTCGACTATCCTCCGCTGTAATACTAAAAATACAAAAAAAGCCTATAGTTCAAAGATTATTTTTCCACGGGTTAAAGCATAGTGTCAACGTTGAAGGAAAAATATTTAGTTATTCAAAAATGTATATAAAATCACAATGGCAGCATTTATTCTGTATTATGAGACAATGGCAAATCACACACACACACACATCGCATATGCAATCTAGAAAATTACAAGATTTTATCTCATGTAAACTTCTATTTCATGCACATGCCCTTTGATTTGATATTAGTGTGAACAAAGATACCGATTTTACAATTAAAAGGTATACAGTTGGGAGGCTATGGCAGGTGGATTATCTGAGGTCAGGAGTTTGAGACCAGCCTGACTAACACGGAGAAACCCTGTCTCTACTAAAGATATAAAATTAGCTGGGCATGGTGGCACATGCCTGTAATCCCAGCTACTCCAGAGGCTCAGGCAGGAGAACTGCTTGAACCCAGAAGGTGGAGGTTGCGGTGAGCTGATCATGCCATTGCACTCCAGTCTGGGCAACAAGGGTGAAACTCCGCCTCAAAAAAAAAGGTATACAGTTTGGACATGTTGAAAAGGCAAGTCTATATTGTCTATATCCTTCTTAGACTGTGGTTCCCATAACTGCAAACTTTAAATTGATCGATTACTCTGGACCAGCACAAATCAGAAGATGACAATTATCTCCTTCATTTTGCTAACTATTTGTTGACATTCTCCCCACTTTTTTTTTTTTTTTTTATCAAACTGACAATTCATGCTGACTTCACAGCTAAACAACCTGTTGGGGATATTTCCCCCTTCAAACAATGCTGATGTCTATATTTTGTGATTGAATGAGAACCCAAGTACAGGAAACATGTTATCATTGCTAAACTCACCTGGTTAGATTCAATTTATAGTGTCAATCTATAAAGATATTTTAGTATCCTGACTTCAATAACTAATATATTTGCTATTTCTACTGGTATTACAGTAGAAATAAAACCAAGTTCAAGCTCTTACTTTATCACTTTCTAGCTGTATTAACTTGGGACATGTAATTTAGCCTCCAAAGCTCAGTTCTTTCATCTGTAAAACAAATGTTACATTTCAACAGAGAATTACTGTAAACCTTAAATGAAAAAATAATGGCGATAAAAGCACCTTATAATTAGTAATGCAAATAACTGCAACAATACAAACCTGCCCAACATTGTATTTGGCTGTGCAGTAAAAATGGATGGGTCTACAACAAATCTAGTGTTATCCACTATTAGTGTCACTCGTTCTGACGTTCTTATATTCCGAGCTCCTTCTTTTGCATTTTCATATACAAACACCATCTCCCCAGATGTCTTACAACTACCATCTGAACTTGACTGACTACTGTTTCTGCTGCTGTTCCCAGTACTGCTAATGGAACCATTTGGGGATGCTTTTTGAGGACGTGGACTGCTTGGACGAGAGGAACTGTGATCTTTTTCTCGTTCTGAAATAAAGATGTTAAACAAAGTTATGCAAATTTTCTTTTAAAAATTCAGGATGTATATATATCTTTTTAAATGTTTGATTTAGAAAAGTTGTTTTAAGTCACAGCATTTCCACTTTTCAATTTCAAATAATATGTTAACAGAACACCATAAACATTCATTTAGTTCCTAGGAATAAAACCCAAAACATTAAAATGTTTTCTAAAATCTTTATTTGTAGACTTTTTAAAAAGATGTATAGCTGACTAATGCTAACGCAAACTAACATCAAAACTAAGGAAGCTTTTATTACTCCACTTAAAAACAGAAACCCAAGGAACCTCTCACAAGTCAAATAAATATGCTTTGAAAGTTATTACAGTAAAAGATTAATAATAAGAATACCAATTTAAACTGTCCTAATTACTAAAAGGGATAATACCACTCTGAGAACACAAAGTACAATCTTTAGAAGCTCACTGTTAATAAGGACATTCTAAAACCAGCAATTTATCTCAAAAAAAAGAAGGTGCCTCACCCAAAAAAAAAAAAATCAAATTCACTAAGGACAGTAAAAGTATTTTTTTTAATGATTTTTATGTCTACCAAATAAAGCAGCTTTAGTAGCTCATGATACATTGTTTTCTTCTCATTCTCATGTTTGCTGAATAAAGCACTGTTGCAAATTTTATGATCTATAATTATAGTCTGTGATTTTCACAGGTAGAAAATACTGTTAAAATTCAGAAAATTTTCTTAAGATGTTCCAATAGTCTACAAAAGAGAAACAAAAACTAAGATTTTGTGATTTTTCCTTTAGAGACTAAATCACTAAACTTTAAAGGTGACCTAAAAATGTACCTCCATCTCATCAGTTTCATCAGCTTTTGCCAAATTTCTCTATGACTCAGGCTACCCGGAACACTCTGTACAGCATTATTGATTATATAATTAAGTTTGACACATCTCCAGAGATACTCTGACACCTCCCTTTTATTGCCTGTTTCTACAATACTGCCAGCATCCCAAAAGTAAAACTTGCTAAAGCAATATTAATAAAATAATTTACTATATCCTGCTATTCTACTCCCAGACACTGACTTTTGCATGTAACAAAGTGTCGACTCTAATTTATACTTTTGTTGATGTCTGGCTTATAAGTACTAGTCTGACTTCCAGGATCAACTGACAACTTCTCTCATAATTAGACCCTAATATTAATGATTTTTATTTACAACAGATTATCAGAAACTACTGTTGCACATAGGAAGTCAAAGTTTTAATTTGTCCCTTCTGCAGGGGAAAATAAAAATCAGCAAGCTCACATGCTAAGGCACCTCTTCTTCAGCTGCTGTTTTATAGTCATACCATGTGTTCACCTGGGGTAATAATGTTCATTTATAGTAATGAGTAGGAAGAAGGGGAAAGACCTGAGCTAGTTACTAAGAGAGTAAAACACATCACACTTTTCGTATATTTTTATTATTAAATTTGGGATCCTGTCAAAAATCAGAATAAATAACATGATGTGTTTTTTTTTTTTTTTTGGAGATGGAGTTTCGCTCTTGTAACCCAGGCTGGAGCACAATGGCGCGATCTCGGCTCACCACAACCTCCGCCCCCTGGGTTCAGGCAATTCTCCTGCCTCAGCCTCCTGAGTATCTGGGATTACATGCACGTGCCACCATGCCCAGCTAATTTTTTTGTATTTTTAGTAGAGACGGGGTTTCACCATGTTGACCAAGATGGTCTCGATCTCTTAACCTCGTGATCCACCCGTCTCAGCCTCCCAAAGTGCTGGGATTACAGGCGTGAGCCACCCCGCCTGGCCCACATGATGGTTTTTCTACCTTTCACATCCTTAGCATGATAATAATGAAATTTCTATCAATAATTTACTAAAAACTATTTAAAAGAAACTATTGCTATTTCATAAGCCAAATATTAACTTGAAAACTAAAAATCTATATCACAGTTTCAAAGGCTTTTCAAATTATTTATTTTTATAAGACTGTACCAGATGTTAAAAAGTTCACCTTCACTTTGCATTTTAACAAGCTGCTTTTTCACAGCCAGAACCAAGCTCAACTAAAACAGAAACAACTGAATAGGCTAATTTTACTCTGCAGTGTTAGGCACAATTCAATGTAATTACTAATTTAAAAAGGTAAATGCAAGTTTTTAAGGACTGACAGGAAGATTAGTTGATTTTACTTACCAACATGGTGCTGTCGTGTTGGAGAAGTCACATTTCTAATACAAGGAGTAAGTTGAGACTCTGTTCTTTCATGAGATGAATCTCGTGATCTGTCACTTGACCTTCGCCTATCTCTTGATCTTTCATGTCCTCCACTAGCACCATGTAGACTCATTTTGGTGTGGTCGACTCCTCCTTTAGCAACACGCGAGGAAGTACTGATAAGTTAGAAAGAACAATTAACCATAAAAGCAGAACATAAGATTGCAAAACATTTTAAAAGAAAAACCCAAGTAACATAAAACTAGTATCTTGAAGTGCATTTAAAAATCAAATGCTACTTTTCAATTCTGAAACCTAATTTACCTCAAACTTGTAGGCTTTAAAAATTCTGAAATAATGTGTCTTTGAAGATCACATAATTGACTCAGTTTTTTATGAACAAGAAAATTAACGCTTAGAAAGGTTAAGTAACATATGAGTTAGTAGAAGTAGTAGTAATAATAGTAGTAGATCACCCAGATATCTTAAATATTACTTAAATTTTCTTTTTATTTCCTTCATTGTGGGGAAAAAAGAGAAGGCAAGAGTTTCTGGAACTCTTAAAAAACTGAGGAATGGGGCAAAGAAATTGGTCTCCCTACCAAACAAAGTAAGTATACATGCTAACTTCTATCACCCAACTTTGAGTTGAGTCGTTTCAAAACACTATGGTATTTTTAAAAGTTTTTCTGAAAAGCATTTCTCAGCCAGGTGCGGTGGGTCACACCTATAATCCCAGTGCTTTGGGAGCACAATGCAGATGAATCGCTGGAGGCCAAGAGTTCGAGACCAGCCTGGCCAACATGGCAAAACCCTGTCTCTACTAAAAATACAAAAATTGGCAGGGCACAGTGGCTCACACTCCTAGCACTTTGGGAGGCATGCAGATCACAAGGTCAGGAGTTCGAGACAACTATCACTATGTTGATAGTGAAACCCTGTCCCTACTAAATATACAAACATAAGCCCAGCGTGGTGGTGGGTGCCTGCAGTCCCAGCTACTTGCAAGGCTGAAGCAAAAGAATCACTTGAATCCAGGAGGCAGAGGCTGCAGTAAGCCGACATTACCCCAATGCACTCCAGCCTAGGTGATAAAGCGAGACTCCATCTTAAAAAAAATAATTATCTGGGTGCAGCGGCACACACCTGTAATCCTAGCTACTCAGAAGGCTGGGGCACAAGAATTATCTGAACCTGGAGACGGAGGTTGCAGTGAGCCAAGATTATGCCACTGCATTCCAGCCTGGGTGACAGAGAGACTGTGTCTCAAAAAAAAAAAAAAAAAAATTCGATGAAGAAAAGCATTTCTCTTATAAACCTAACAAACCTACCTACTCTTACCACATAAAGTCACAGAATTTTAAAAAACTTTAAAATATCTTATATATAATAAAGTTCACCAGAAGTGAATAACTCAGAATGTTGATTAAAACAGTCCAGTTTACAGAATATATTAACATAATTATATATTAAGTTACACATACTATATGCACAACGCTATGCTAAATGCCAACAGAAAGAGAAGCTTCCTCAGGAGCTTGTTTTCTAAGTATAGCAGTAATAGATGAACATGCAGAATTTTAAACAATTCAAGAGCTATCCCAACTTCCAAATATTAAACTACTAAAGATTTCCCAAATATATAACTATTAAATGGGTATTAAATAATAAGTGTTTTAGGATCTCCAAGAAAAAAGACATTGCTAAAGAGTAGCCACTTGTGTATCACTAGTGTCCAGATCCTGACAAAGAGATAAAATTTCAGTAATTAGAATACACTTCAAATAAGAAAACTGATAGTAATGAAAATAATCAAGTCAGACCTAAGGCAATTTGGAAATTTACTATGTTAGCATATACTATCGTTCATGGTTTAAAAATTTTAAAGTACTTTTTAGAAACAGAAGAAAATTCATGGCTTTAGAGTGAAATTGTCATCTAATAACTTACTGCTTGGCATTTTGAATGATACTTAATATTTTGGAACCTTAGGCTTCTCATTTGTAAAATGTAAGTTCTATTTATTCTCTAAGGTTAACGGGTAAATTAAATGAAGTACAATACATAAGCTGACCAGCAATGTACCTGACACAACATAATTACTCATGAAATATTAGTTTATTTAGTTATGACAGATGAGGATATTAAAGTTCAAAACTGCAATACTTTCTCAGGGTCACATAGTATTTAGCGGAAATGCCAGTAACACTATAACCGAAGCCTTTTGATTCATTCCAGTGCCCCTTCCATAATATTATACTGCTCTTCTTTTGCAAAACCACGAGTTAAAATTTAATCTTCTTGGTAATTCAGAAAGCAGTTTTATATCTTTCACTGTCTCAGGGTCATCTGTTTGATTATTCGCTTTAATACTTTTTGTTATTTTGGTGGTTTCTTTCATTATAAAAATCAGTTATCACCTTGCTATAATAGACTACAAGGACAGAAGATAAAGCTAACTTTGTATGTAGCCTGAAAGTTACTTCTAGGAAAATAAACCTACAGAGACAAATTCTACTCCCATCTTCATTCTAGTGAAAAATATCAGAGGACAGCTGCATTGGTAGAACATAATCTTTTCTTTCAAACAGAACAAATCAAAAGATCCTACTGCATTTATGTTTAAAAAAATCCTGGGAGAAAAAAAGAAAAGCAAAGCACACTGCCATGTGTGTACCTACGCAACTGTCTTGCATGCTCTGCTCATGTACCCCAAAACCTATAATCCAATAAAAAATTAAAAAAAAAAAAAAATCCTTAGAGTAGGAATACTGGCATTTCTGGTTTGTTTTCTAAAGTTGGGGGAAAAAAGGAATCCACACTAAATAGAACAAAGATCTTATATAGAAAAAATAACTCTTCAAATTATTCTGGCTGCGAAGTTTTCATCATTTTCAACTATAAGAAAGCACATTATCTAAATATGAGTCTAGTAATTTCATGGACAAGGTACAACCACAAGTATGAATAAGACAAATACAAGCTAAATGTTCAGTTTGAGTAAGGGCCAAGCAGACTGAGTAAGTAAAAAAGCATTTTCACCAGACATCTCTGTAGCTGAAAGATTAAATACTGCTAAAATATTGGCTTCATTTCTAAACCACTTAGATTTTAAATGAATTAAAAAGGTGTCATAATACACTTCCATCTTTTAATTCCCCCGTAGACTGAACCTGGAATCAGACCTTCAAAATCAGATGTCATGGAAGATGAATTATGTCCTACTGTATTTAATTCAATACTTTTAGATTAAGAAAACACTCTAAGGGCAAAAACAGTTAATATGTACAAAACAAAATGAGGATGAGCAAGTTAAGAGGGAAAGCTCTGCTTCAGACTGCATTGAAGAGTTTGAGATTCATGAACTAAGGATAGGTAAGGACATGAAGACTAGATTAGCCCTAATATCTATTTCCAGCCAAGATAGAATAACAAGGACTGAGTTTATACCCTGTCTGAAACAACCCAAGAAACCAAACAGAATATATGAAACAACAGTCTCCAAGACATGGCACATCAGGCAATAAAGGAAAGTCATCACTGAAAAATGGAAAGCAAATGAGATATGTCCAACAATTATCCCAAATTACTATCTTGAGAGCATTTGCAGAGTAAACACAGAGAAGGGAAACACAAGCAGAACCCAGTGGACTCTGAGTGAAACATGAATCTGAGACATTGGGATAAGAGGTGGCTAGAGTTCTCAGGGAAGAGTACCAGAGAGTAGAGAGCAACACAGAGAGAAAACCTCAGAAATTTGCAGAGTCCTCCTTGAGTACTGAGCTGGGTAACAGTCACACACATGTGAGGACACTATGAAAAGGTGGGGAAAGAACCAACCCAAAGGGTTAGAGGAAATAGTGTCCAGCATGCATACAGGCCAGGAATAGGTCCTGTTTCCACCAATTCAGACTGGAAAGCCTAATAATTTATAGGGCATTGGGAAGAGAATTAGAAGGCTCTAAAATGGGAAATAATTAAACTGGACTGAGCCCTGCTCCCACTCCCCTAACAAATTTTAATAGCAAGACCAAAAAGGACAGCAAAGCAAAGCTCTGTAGTCCTTATTCTAAGAATAAGAAGTATCAAACACACAAATGAGGTAAAATTCACAATGTATGGCATCCAATCAAAAATTATCAGGCATGCAAGGAAGTGAGAACACATAACCTATGAGGAAAACAACAGCAAGTGAAATCAAACCTGAACTGATACATGTTAGAATTAGAAATAAAAACATTAAAAAGTCACTCTAACCACAGTCCTCCAAAAAGCAATGTAGAAACATAGAGGATAAAAAAGATGCAAATCAAGCTTCCAGAGAGAAAAATGATTACATGTGAGATGAAAAGTATACTAAATGGCCCTTTGAAATGACTATAGTTAAAAATAATTTATTATATATTTTCAAATGGCTAGAAGAGATAATTTTGAATGTTCTCAACATTTAAAAAAATGATAAATGTTTGAGGTGACAGATATGCTAATCACACTGATTTGCTCATTACATACCATATACATGCATTGAAATATCACTCAATACCTCTAAATATGTATTATTACATGTCAATGAAAAATAATTTTAAAAAAAGAAAAAAACGCTGAATGGAATTAATGGGAGATTACACGTTATAGAAGATTAACAAATCTGAAGACAATGCAATAGGAAATATTCAAAATAAAAAAGACAGAGAAAACAGAAAAATAAACAGCATGAGTGAGCTGCAGGTCAATTTCAAGTAGCCTAATATGGGTACAAATGGAGTCCATGAAGGAAGTGGGAAGGAAAAAAAGGGAAGTAATATCTGAACTATCTCCAAATTTGGCAAATATTACAAACCCACAGATTCAATATGCACAACAAATTCCACACACTTTAAACAAGAACAAACAAACCCTGTCAAGCTAAGTTTGTCATAGCCAGTAAAAACATCTTTCAAAAATAAGAAGGATCTGAATTTATTGATTTGTTGAAAAAATAAGAAAACAGACATATACAGACAAAAATAAAGATAAATGAATTCATCATCAGAAGACATGCATTACGAGAAAAGTTAAAAGGAAGTCCTTCAGGCAAAAAAAAAAAAAGCTAACTCCAGGTGAAAACATGAATTTACACAAAGGAATGAAGACAACTAGAAAAAATAATTGCATGGAAGAATGTAATTTTTTCCTA